ATTAAAGGCACATGTTCAGCTTATAGCTCACATTTTTCAGTATGTAATTTTAAGTGTTCAGTACAGTGGGTTTTGATATACTTAAAACATGTGGAACTGTTAGAACTACCTAATTATTGGAATAATTCTATCACCCCAAAGAATAAGCCATAAATTATCAGTCCTCCGCTATTCTGGCATTATTCTTTTACTCTATCTCATTGGACTGCCTACTTTTAGCATTTTAGAGAAATGAATTCATATAAGTGGCCCTTTCAGTGTGTCAGACTTCTTTCATTTAGCAAATTTTCTAACTTTGTCAATATTGTAAAATATGTAAGTATTTCCCTTTCGTGGCTGAATGGTATTCCATTCTGTGGACATATAGCATTTTGTTCACCATTCATGAGTCAATAGCATTGGGGGAGTAGCGGGTCTTAGCCATTCTTAATGCTTCTGCTGTGAGTTTCATACTCAGGTCAGTGTGTGAGCGTGTGTTTTCAGCTCTCTGGCTTATACTCAGAACTACTGTATAATGTGGCACACTAGAGGTCTAGGGACACCTGCACTCTAAACAAAAATAGTGTAGAGTGGAATGGTTACAGAACTTAGAAACGAACAAATTGTCAACTGATTTAAAAAGAGACACTAAGTAGACTAAAAGCAGTTGAGCAATTATTAATTAAAAACATCACAAATAAAAGTCCAGACCCTGATTATTTTAGTGGTGTTCTGTGGGACTTGTTATTAATTTCTTTTTAATCAGATATTTTTAAAAGATAAAATCAATTCCAGAAAATAGAGGAGGAACCTATTTTGAACAATGCAAACAATGCTCTGATACAAAAGCTAGATAAATACATTAGAAAAAAAATACAGGCTCATAGCCTCATGAAAATGTATATTAAATTCTCTGCTAAATCTTAGCAAATGAAATTATTGACCACCTTCCTGGTGTGTGTAAGTCCCTGGGTTCAATCTCCAGTAATGAGAAAGGAAGAGAGGGAAGGAAGGAAGGAGGAAGGAAAAGAAAAATCTTTGCAGATCAAAGCTGACAACATATTAAAAAAAAAGGTTATTCATCTTGACTGGGGGATTTACTCCAAGAATACATAGTCGGTTTAACATCTGAACACCAACTAACATATTGTACAATAGAAGTAGAAATTGAGATAAAACCTAGATGGCTGGATGGAAGTGGTTCATTAAATCCAAGCCCACTCGTGATAAAAGCTCTTTGACCTGAAACAGAAGGAGCTGCTCCTCAGAACCCGCAGCAAAAAGCATCCAAACGGCCCGAGACTAACCACTTCTGCCCAGGACGACGTTCTCCCGATCTTTTCCTTAATGCTTCACATTAAGATTGTAACAGCCAATTTAGTGCGGGGGGGGGGGGGGGGGGGGGGGGGGGGGGGGGGGGGGGGGATTAAACTGTCCTTATTTGCATATGCTAATGTTGTGTGATAGGAAAGCAACATGACATCAGTTGTATGTACTCCAAGAAAGTGGTTCAAAATGATATTAAGAAAATAATATATGCAGAATGTATGTCGAAGACTAGTTGGTAGCTGAAGCCAGACTCTTGTGCATGTGTGTTTATATGTATATTCTGATGCACATGCATGTGGAGGCCGGAAGTCAGCCTCAGATGTTCTCCTCAGGACCCACAGCTCTCTGTGTTGTGTTTTGAGACAAGTCTCTTATTGGGACCAGGTGCTCACCAATTTGGCTAAGCCAGCTGACCAGCAAGTGCCAGGGCTTTGCTGCCACCTCCCCAGCACTGGAATTAGAAGCCCACACCACCATACCTGGCAACCTGGGGTGGAGGTGAGGGGGCAGGGGGGCACACATGCATGCACTTTCAGGAAATGAAATTTGGGTGTTCATGTTTGGCAAATATTTTACTGTTATCTCTCCAGCCTGAAATTAAATTCTAAAAGACATTTTATACTCCAGCATTCTTAAAATGATTTTGTCTGTCTCTAGCTTAATTTATTTATTTCTGATTCAGCAGTCATAATTCCAGCACATAAAGTGATAACTCATTCTAAAATAATATAAATGGGATATATTTTTAAATATATATGAAAAGAACTTGAGGAGAATGAACTTAGAGGATATACATAGCCAGGTTTCAAAAGCTGATTATAAAGATGCAAGAAATAAAGGCAAGATTAAACTCTTCATAAAGTAGATTACATGACACAAAGCTGTCGGGGCGGGGGAGCTTTAATTTATACTCTGTTAATTTTTGACAAATAGCTAAGACAATTTAATAGGAAAAAGATCCACTAACAAATATTTCTGGAACAGTTGGGTGTCAAACTGCACAAACACCATTGTAGGTTCTTGTACATGGCAACTCAAATGGGTCTGATGTCTGATGTGTCCATAGAATTTCGAAGAAGTAGTAGACAGTCTTTCTAACTTTGTACTGCAAAGGGCTCGTAGATACAACACCCAAAGTATAGGCTATTTAAAAAACAAATCAGTGCTGGAGAGATGACTGAGCAGTCAAGAGCACTTGCTGCTCTTGCAGAGAACCTGAGTTCAGTTCCCAGTGCCTGTGGTGAGTAGTTCACAACCACCTGTAAGTCCAGCTCCAGGGAATCCAGTGTCCTCTTCTGACCTGTGGGCATCTGCACTCATATTCACACAAACACACAATTAAAAAAATTACAAAGTACGGGCGGTGGTGGCGCACGCCTTTAATCCCAGCACTCGGGAGGCAGAGCCAGGCGGATCTCTGTGAGTTCGAGACCAGCCTGGGCTACCAAGTGAGTTCCAGGAAAGGCACAAAGCTACACAGAGAAACCCTGTCTTGAAAAACCAAAAAAAAAAAAAAAAAAAAAAAAATTACAAAGTAATAAATTGAAGATCATGAAAAGTAAAGTCTTTTGTGCTGTATAAGACATCTTGAGGAAAATGAAAACACAGGACAAAGACTGGAAGAAATGTTTGTAATGGAGCTTGTGTCTTTTTTTTTTTCTTTTTTTTCCTTTGGTTTTTCGAGACAGGGTTTCTCTGTGTAGCTTTGCGCCTTTCCTGGAACTCACTTGGTAGCCCAGGCTGGCCTCGAACTCACAGAGATCCGCCTGGCTCTGCCTCCCGAGTGCTGGGATTAAAGGCGTGCGCCACCACCGCCCGGCTAAATCTTTTTTTTTTTTTAAAAAAAAAAAAAAAAAACATACTTTATAAAATGTCTGCAATCAGAAGATGATTGAGGATCAGAAAAACTGCAGTTCATATTGCCTGGTTTGTGAGAATGTAAAGTGGTATATATAATCACTGTGGAGAACACTTTAACATCTTTTTTGTAAGTTAAAAACATAAATATATCATCCAATGAAACAGTTTCCTCAAGAGAAATGAAAACATATCCACACTATAACTTTTGCATGTGTGTGCATATTTATAACAAACCCAAACTGGAGATAAGCAGAGCCCACACAGCATATCTGCACCACTGAATAGAATTCATCCTCGGAAATCTAAGTGTTGTGAAACCTTGGAAATAATAGGCTAAGATGCATAAAATTACATATTGTTCAGATCCGTGTATGTGAAATGTCAAAACATAATGCAAACCTATGCAGACAGGGTAGTCTTGGGAGGTGACTACAGGCAGGCATGAGGGATCTTGGGTTTTGCTGGTACAAGTGTTGCAGTTTGGATTGTGTGATAGTTAAAGGACTCTGGAAATTGATAAAAAGTTATTAAACTTTACACTTAAATTGGGCAAGTTTTGTAGCATATAAGTCATACTTCAATAAGCTGGGTTTTTTTTTCCCCAAAGGAAGGAAAGCAAGAGGAGGTACTAGGTATCCTCCATGTGCTTGGCTCTAGCGTCTACTGAGTGCCCCATAAGGTGTGTGAGAGCATCTTGTTAAACCTGCTTCTCCACATAGAGTGCTTGGGTAAATTAAATTGCCAAGAATTTGAATCATAAAGGAAGTATATGAATTGGAACATGACTCCATGGCTGGGAGGATTCATCCAAAGATCACGTTGGTGTTTTATGTCATAGTGGTTATATGACACTCAAATTGGAGATGCTACCTAGGATGTGGATAGTGTATTACAACCAGGAAAAAAAAAATGCTGCATAGTTTCTGAACTCATCACTTCCCAGCCTAGATTAAATGCATTGATTTGGTTGGGATTGCCTTAGTAAGCCTACAAGACATAACAAGATGCTGATTTATTTGATTATACAGTGAAGAGTAAAGTTTAATAATCAGTGTAAGCCTTTTGACCTCAAGATTTGAGGTTTTGTGAAAATGGGCAATTTCAGGTAAAATTGGGTTTCATAAAATGAAAAATTGATCAAGAAAAGATTGAAAGTACTTGAAACTTTTTGCCTGTAGAAGAGAAATAGGAAAGTACATTTATCTTCCTATAAGACCAAGGGGCTAGATCTTAGAAGAGGATGCATTGGGGAAGTCCTTTTGAGTCTACTGGACAGGTTCACCACAGCAGCAGGTGCACAGGCGGGGCGTGGGCCAGTAGATTTACTGAAGAAATAATGAAGGGTGGGCTTAATAATGCCGACACTGGTGTATTGTGTCTGGTGTCCATGGAGGCAAGAAGAAGGCCTCCTCAGATCCCCTGGAACTAGAGTTACAGATGGTGGTGTGCTTCCATGTTGGTGTTGGGATCAAACCTGGGTCCTCTGCCAGTGCTCTTACCCACCAAGCCATATCTTCAGCCCCCATTTGCTTTTTTTTTTTTTTTTTTAGTAGAAAATGGATGCTGAGGGGAAAAAAACTTGTTTCTTTCAGAGTTGTCTTATTGCTCTTATCTATTAAAAGTAGGACTCATAGTTTGGCTTTTAAATGGTTTATTATTATTATTATTATTATTAATCATTTTCTGTAGAAATGCTAAACTAGGTTACTAAAAAAAGGAGCAGTTAAAGATTAATGGACAGGTTAATCATCCCCTTGATTCTAGATACTGAAATGACTAGTTTTCTAAACCCATTTACAGAAGGTCATTTCCTAATCTGAATCTCTTTTCAGGCACTACAGACACCACATCCAACAACACAGCCACCGTGATTTCCACAGCACCCCCTGCTTCATCAGCAGTCACATCTCCCTCCTTGAGTCCCTCCCCTTCTGCCTCAGCCTCCACCTCTGAGGCCTCTAGTGCCAGTGAGACCAGCACAACACAGACCACCTCCACGCCTCTTCCCTCCCCTCTCGGGGCCAGCCAGGTGATGGTGACAGCATCTGGCTTGCAAACAGCAGCTGCTGCTGCTCTCCAAGGAGCTGCACAGTTGCCAGCAAATGCCAGTCTTGCTGCCATGGCTGCTGCTGCAGGACTCAACCCAGGCCTGATGGCACCCTCACAGTTTGCTGCTGGGTAAGAATCTTTCCCATTTCATTTGCATCCAAAACAGAATGTCTGTGAAGAGACATCATGACCACAGAAACTTTTATAAAGGAAAACATTTCATTGCGGCTAGCTTACAGTTTTAGAGATTTAGTCCATTGTCATCTTGGAGGGTAACATAGTGGCATGTAGGCAGACATGGTGCTGGGGAGTTCTACTTCTTGATAGACAGGAAACAGGAAGTGAACTGTCTACCTCACTGGGCATAGCTTGAGCAAAGGAGACCTCAAAGCCCACCCCCACAGTGGCACACTTCCTCCTACAAGGCTACACCTGCTTAGATAAAACCACGCCTCCTATTAGTACCACTCCTGCTGGCGGGGAGGGCATTTTCTTTCAAAACACCACACAGAACTAGGAACCCATCAGTGCAACTCATAGGAAAGATTTTCCATTACTATCTTAAATGAAAAGCAAATCTGAGATAGGCTTCTTTGAGTATAGATGTGAACTTAAGTTTCTAAGTAGCCACACTACCATTTCCACAGGATGACACAGGACTGAGTCCGTGAGTAACTCAGTGATGAGAGCCAGGAGAAAGCTCAGAATCCTCCTTAGTCTTCATTTCTTCAGTAAAGTGGAGCTTGCGTACTCTAATTCTCAAAAAAGGGGTAAAACTTGGAGTGAAGTCTGTCTGGTTTTATGTATTTTTCATATAGTTTTTATTCTCTGATAATTTCATACATGTATACAATGTATTTTGATCATATCACTCTTCCCAAACTGCCCTGAACTCTCCCACACACAACTTCATGTTTCATGTCTTTTTTTTTCTTCAAGTAGCCAGTCAAATTAGTGCTGCCTCTGTGCATGTGAGTGTAGAGACGTCCACTAGAGCATGAGTAACCTACTAGTGTGAGACCCCCACAAAGACAAATTATTCTCCCTCTTCCAGCAACCATCAACTGCCAATGGCTCCTCAGCCAGGGAAGGAGCCTCTGGAGCCCTTCCCTATCCACACTGTAGTTTGGCTTGGTCTTGTTCAGGTAGCCACACCCGGTTAAGCAGTCATTGAGTGCAACTGCTGTGTCATGTCTAGAAGAGCATTTTACAGTAGTGCTCCCCAGCCTCCAGCTCGTACATCCTTCCTGTAAGACACAGCTTCCTCAGTATTCTCTGAATCTTGGTGCTAGGAAGATGGGCTTGATGTAGATGTCCTATTTAGGGCTGCATACTCCACAGTCACTTATTCTTAACAATTTCACTAGTTGTGGATCTACATTAATCTTATCCATTGCAAAAAGAAACTTCTCTGACCTGGGTTGAAAGCATCCATAGATCTGCAAGTATTAACATAAATACTTAGAAGGCAGTTCACTGTAACCATTTAACAAAACAACAATAGTTAGTTTCTGCTCCCACCCCCATCCCTTAGCCCATGACCTCCCCACCCATGGACTTTTGACTAGATTTATGTACCAGGTGTAAATTTCCTTCTATAAACAAGTCTCAAATCAAATCAGAAATCAGTTGTCTACCCTACAGCAGTCATACCACTGTTGTACCAATGGGTACATCTTTCCTGATGGGTCAGTATTGTAACATACAGGATCTAGCATTGAGTAAGACTAGTGATCTCTTTTCTCCCCCAGCTGCCTGTGTAGCACCTCTTGGCACTGTGAAAGCTAGCCAGCAGGGAGGAAGTTTCCTGGTCAGTTCCAGATTGATGTTCCTATATCCTGCAACCTAAGTACATGTATGTTCAGTAATAGGGTCTTACAATCTAGTTATGATGGGCAACTGAGAGCAATGGCAATAGCCTATAGTGTTTGTTTATTTTTTTTAGAGGGTTGGCCTCTGGAGCCTCCCAGACTGATAACTTGTAGGGAAGGATCCCATGAATGGCACCTAGATTTTTGTTTAATCATCTATCCTCTGAGGACAACATTGTCCACCCATGGAGGGTACCTCTGTTAAAACTCCTTCTGGTTTTTGTTGTTGTTGTTGTTGTTTGGGGTTTTTGGGGGAGGGGGGGTTGTTTTTTCAAGACAGGGTTTCTCTGTGTGTAGCCCTGGCTGTCCTGGAACTCACTCTGTAGCCCAGGCTGGCCTCAAACTCACAGAGATCCACCCACCTCTGCCTTCTGAGTGCTGGGATTAAAGGCGTGCACCACTACTGCCTGTCTTTCTGTTATTTTTTATCATGTGTTTTAATTAGCTTATACACAGAGGGTTTCCATAAGGCTTTTCATACATCCTTAGTTTTTGTTGACCTGCTTTCCTTCTCTGCCTCATCCCTCACGCCGTCTATGTTCAAACCTTCAACCCGTAATTCTCTCCTCTTTTCATACCACACACATATCTCCTACCCCATTAAGACCTCTTGTCTTCTCCCTCTCATGGACCCTTTCAGGCTTTCTGACCTACAGTTACTCCAAGGTAAACATAAGCGACAGATTCAAAACTAGGAGTCACATATGAAAGAGCACGCGGCCTTGGTCACTCTGGGCCCATGCTGTTCACTTGATGTCCTCCAGTTCTGTCCATTTACCTGTAGATTTCAGTTTTCTTTACAGCTCGATAACATTCCATTGTGTGTTTGTACCAGTGTCATTTTCATCAGTCTATGTTAATGCCATTTATTTCCTAGCTATTATGAATAGAGCAGCAATGAATGTTTTGTTGTCAAATAGAAAGATTACCCTTTCCAGTTAAATGAATGAAGTAATTCAAAGAAAAGTCAGAATGACTAAAAGTTTTATATTTTATGCAGATCATAACCTTGTTTGTACAAGTAAGCATCAAAGAAGTAGTAACTTGGAAGCACTAACTGAACCATGTGAAAGTATACAAAAGTAACAAAGATACCCATATTTTTCCTAAGCTGAAGTTTTCTTTATTATCTTCCTTATTTTATTATCAATCTGGGTGTGTTGTCAGACGGACAGGGATGTCTGCATGACATAGAGTGACTCCTCTTTTGCACTTGCAGCGGTGCCTTACTCAGTCTCAATCCGGGGACTCTGGGTGGTGCTCTCAGCCCAGCCCTAATGAGCAACAGTACACTGGCTACCATTCAAGGTCAGTAGCATTTTTTCCGTGTGTGTGTGTGTGTGTGTGTGTGTGTGTGTGTGTGTGTGTGTGTGTGTGTGTAGTGGAAGCTACCTGCCTTGCTAGAGAGTAAGGTGAGAAGGAGAGAGAGTTGAATGCTGACTTAAGTTACTCCTGAAGATGAAGAAAGCGCCCCTGTAAAAAAGTTTTGTAGAAGAAGAATGTATAGGTTAGTTTGGTAGAACAACAAACAGTACTTAGTTTGGTATATTCCAAGAAATCTGGACTTTACTTTCTTATGTGAATAGAGTTGGAGGTAGATTTCTTTTCCTCCTGATGTTAACCTAGCTCCAGGCAAGGTTCTTCAAGTCAAACTCCCCAGTTCTGTCCCCACCTGAAGATAGCCGTGTGGAATGGTAGAGATCTCCAGGATATTTTTCACTTTTGTTAGGTTTTGTCCCCTGTATATTCCTATCAGTGTAGAACATATGTTTTTGGATTATAATATCTTTTCCAAGTCCATTGGGGTCCATATCAGCCCTTTCTCATGTTACTTAAGGTGATACTTACTCATACAATAAAGGATCTGCCTTGCCTTGTTCAAGATCTAAGCTTTTTGCCTAAAGATGCCTATTATTACATGATTTGGAGAAAACTCCTATTTTGAATGAAAGAGGTTTTTGAGTTTTTGTTTGTTTGTTTTGTTTTTTCTTAAAATACTTTGTACTTAAACAAGAATTCTTGGGGCCCAAAACAAGCTGGCAAGTTCTGGCACGTTTCAGTGAGTGGTATGTCTAACCATATACTGTAGGCATTGTTAAACTACAGACAAAAATCAAATTGTAGCCTAGATTGTCCTGCTGTTTTGTTGGTTTCTTCTGTCTGGACTGATGGTTAGATGGATGTGTAGTGCTTTCATTGTGCAGAGGCATCCTTTAGAATATTTGGTATAAGTCCCTTTTTCCAACATGGGGGACTATCTGGCCTCCAGGGTTATCACAAAGGCAAAATGCCTTTCCCAAGGCATGAGTGATTATAGAACATTCACCAGAAAGATGTAGAATCAGTCTGTGACCCTGAGCCTTGAGTCCAAGAATGCTTTAGTCTGCACCAGGGCTCAGTGTTATGTATTGTTTGTATGTTCGTGTTTAAAATTAAGTATTCCCTTCAGCTGGAAATAAAATTTCAGTGATTTGTCCTGTGGGGAAGCATCATAGAAAAATTGTGCTCCATTAATTACCAAATCCTAGCCTTAGATCACTCACACAGCGATGTGTGTTGTATCTCCTTGTATAATAAACAGTATTATTTGCACAGTTCATAAGAGTCAAATGTTCTGCCTCTGGAAGTACAAAAACAAAATTTTTAAATCATGCCCTTTTCTTTATTTAGTGATATGTAAATTTTCATGACTGAAGCCTTTGGAAAAATGGCTTTCATCTTATATGAAGTTTTGTCAAATAATGTCACATAATGGTAGTTGAGTTGATAAAAGCAAAATATATTTTTAACAATCACTTTAACTAGTAGTCTTTTGAATGGAGGTAGTTTTAAATCAATTCCATTGGGAAAAAACAAAATTATTGGGTTTTAACAAATTCTTGTAAGTAAAGGAAATATATAAACTTGAGACTTAAAAGATAGAAACATGATTGATTCATTACACAGTTCTCATACCTCCTCTTCATTAATTTGTCCTGCTTATACTCATTAAACTGACTTTTCAGTTCTTTAGATGCTTCAGAATTTTAAATAAACTTGAGTTGATGTCTGAAGTGTAGCATTAGAAGCGACTAACCAGTGAAGGGGTCTACTCTCTGCTGCTGAGTAGAGCTTTGCTGATGGATTATTGGCTTCTCCAGGATGAAGTTTAATGTTCTTTCTGTTCTGGGGTCTTTGTCTATAGCTCTTGCTTCTAGTGGTTCTCTTCCAATAACGTCACTGGATGCAACTGGGAACCTGGTATTTGCCAATGCAGGAGGAGCCCCAAACATCGTGACTGCCCCTCTGTTCCTGAATCCTCAGAACCTCTCTCTGCTCACCAGCAACCCAGTAAGCTTGGTTTCTGCCGCCGCAGCCTCCACAGGGAACTCCGCACCTGCAGCCAGCCTTCATGCCTCCTCCACCTCTGCTGAGTCCATCCAGAACTCTCTCTTCACAGTAGCCTCTGCCAGTGGGGCTGCTTCCACCACCACCACTGCCTCCAAGGCACAGTGAGCTGGGCGCAGAGCTGGGCCGCCCCAGGCCTTCATCACCACAGCATGATGGGCTGCCAGCTGTGGAGAAACTGACAAGTGTGATCGGCTTCCCCCCACCGTGTTGTGAGGATGAGGGAGACATGGAGAGAAGAAAAAATACACATACCAGGAAAAAAAAATGGAGACAGGACATCGTTTGCCTAATTTTATAATAAAACAGTGTCTTTTCAGGATTGCTTCATGGATTGGAGAACTTTCTAACCAAAAATTTAAAAGAAAAAAAAAAAAACAGACAAAAATTCAAAAACAGACGGACAAAAATAAATGAAAGGACTACTTATCATTTCCAGCAGTCATGATGACAAGCTAAGGTGGGTTACCAGTTCCAATAGAGGAAGGGGTTTCTTATTTGTTTTTTTTTTTTTTTTCTTAAAAAAAAAATCATTATTATAGGTCTGTTGTACAGGCCATTAAGTCATAACAAGGTGTTTATAATCGTATCAATTGTGTTGGGGGTTCCTTTTCTTAACTGGTACAATTTAGGCAGGCCTGTATTACTGTATCTCTGTTATTGTTTATATATATATATATATAGGACATGTTTATCTCTTGCTCCTGGATCCTATTTCAGTGAGCTCCCACACTGTGGGGAGGGAGGGTTGGGGGTAAAGGGAGACTTGCGTTCTTAACTTCCAGGAATGTCCTTGCTGGTTTCCTTATCCTTGATGACTCTTACAGAGGTGCTAGAAAATGGTCTTCTTTTGCCACTTATGCAGGAGGCTTGGTGCAGAAGCTGAAGGCAGTGTGTGCAAACACTCCTCCTCCACACACCCTCCCCATCAGGTGGTGCCTTTGGAGTACTCGTGTAGGAAGGAATTCCTGCTGAACTGTAGCGCTCACTCCCCTAATCATCCAGCAGCCCTGAGCCCAACAGTGCTGCTTTCTGCTACTTTGAATGGGAACAGCTGTGCCTGTTGCAGGGCAGGGTTTGGTTCCGAAGAGCAAAGACTACTGCAGACACCTGACTTGGTGGTTCTCCTGATTTCTATCTCTTAAAAAAAATGCTCCTACTGTTGATGTTTGTTTGTTTGTTTGTTTGTTTGCTTGTTGGTTTGTTTTCATTTTATGGAGATTTTCCATCCAAACTTCCTTTGACTTTCTTAGTCAAGATCAAATTGACTTACTGAAATTGGGAAAGAATTCTCTTCTTTGTTTTCTAAAGAAATTGTTTGACTGTTTTCTACTAGTTACATATCCCAAAAAAGTCACTATAGAGTCTGAATTTGCCACCTTTACCTCTAGAGCAGCAGTTCTCAACCTGAAAGTCTCGACCCCTTAGGGGGTCAAACAGCTGTTTCATGGGGTCACCTGAGACCATCTGCATATCAGACATTTACATTATAATTCATAACAGTAGCAAAATGACAGTTAAGAAGTATCAGTGAAAATAACTTTATGGTTGGGGGGTCACCACAACATGAGGAACTGTGTTAAAGGGTCGCAGCCTTAGGAAGGTTGAGGACCACTGCTCTAGAGTCACAGACTTCCTGTCCACTGAGTGGCTCATAAGCTCCTCCAAGCCTCAGATTTTCCTCAGTTTTCTGACTGACAGAGGTACTTTCCTGACTGAGCAAGGAGTCTATAGACCCTCAGAGAAAGGCCGAGCAGGAACTTTGCAGCCTGGTAGTGTTATGGTGCTGCTAGGTGGGTCTGGTGACAGCACGCATCTCTCACTGGGTGTGAAAAAGTGATCTGCTCCTGTAATTGTTTTCAGGGTGTTTCTAGACTACATAAATGAGCCCATTGAAAAGGAAGAGCTTGTGAAAATGGATGAAGATGGATGAGGGTAATTTAGAGAGTGAATTCCCCTTTTGACAATGCCCTGTTATTATACTATCTGTGCCAGAATTTTCACCAATGGCTGGGTCGCTGCAGTGAAGTTCATCTAAGTTGCCCTTACTGGAGTTAAGGTCCCCATTGGTGTCGGAGGTGCTTGCTTCGGTCTCTGGTGGTCTGCACTGAGCTGGGGTGACTTTCCTTCTGTTTGCTTCGTGTCCATGGGAAGCTTGGATTCTGTGCATTTGTCTCCACTGTTGCTCAGAAAGACAGTAACACAGACACAAATGTGTATCTTTCTTTGTGATTCAGTTAGAAGAAGGTCATGTTAATATTAAAAGTCAGAAGCATATAGGTCCCCCTTTAAGTTTTTCTTTAGTTCCCTTGGTTTCTGTCTTGGATATTTAATTTTTACACCCGAATTTCTCCTACCCTTAACTTTACTTAAACTCCCTCTAGAAATCAGTGAACTGCAAGCGGGGGAACTAACAAGTGCTCTGCACCTGTCCTGTATGGTGTGGGTGTTTTGTTTTGTTTTGTTCTTTAAACTAAGCTTGAACCAAAGTCAATTTTTAGCAAGCTGCTGTACTAATGGACTAGTTATGATGTGCAGTTCAAACACATTGAGGAGATAGATGCTACTGACAATTTCTTACTCATTTTCCTTGATTAATTTTATGTGAAAGTTGCTGCTTGTTTTTAATCTTTTATGTTGGTAAGTTGTAATATCCTCTGGGCAGACGTTACCTTGATTTTTAGCTAGTTTGTTTAGGTCAGCGTGTAAATAGAAAGGCTGTGTCAGTTAATAACTTCTCTCCTCCCCGTCGGCTCTTTGTTGTTAATTTAATCTTTTACCTGGACTTAACTCTAACCTTAGTCTGTGCGTGTGATTACAGGGCTGTCAATACTGTTTCTCCTCCTAGCAGAGAATCCTCTCCCTTGGCAGTGAGGGAGTTAGGAGGGGGAAGAATTCAGGGAGAGAAATATCGATTACCCACCATACCAGATTAGAAGTTATAGCATTAATTCCCAAAATTGCTACCAAAGGAAATATAGAGTCTCAAGGGACTTGGCCCAGGGAGTTGAAAAGGACAGAGAAAGACTGTTTTGCTTAGTCCTATATGGTGAAAAGAATCTTTTTCCTAAATAAGATTCCCCACAGACTTGGATTTTAAAGACGATACTAAGCTTTAAATGGCAGCCCAGTGGTTGTCAGCCCCTCCTTTGTCTGTAGTTTCTAGCTGGTTTGAGAAAGGAATGCTGCCTTTTTATGTAGTTCATTTGAGGATAGACCTCAAAGCCAGCGTAAATGCGTATTGAGAAGAAAAAAAAAAATCTTGAGACAAAGATAATTTTATTTTTTCCTCTCCTTTTTCATATATTCCCAGTGAAGTTGTCAAGTGAAAGGTACTTTCTCCATGTATACATGACACACTACTAACACCCGCTGGTGGGTGTTGAATTGAAAGTCCTCACCACTCCTCAGTGCTCTGTCAGTCACACCGCTTCACAAACACCTTGGCTGTTTTTCAGTTGATACCACCTTTTTTTTTTTAATGATCTCAAATGCTTTTTGAATTAGCAAAAAACTATCTTTTAAGCTAAAGTACCAGACTTAAAACATTTAGCTGCCTTTTACGAGGGTGTCTAGAAACTAAAGGGGTCATTTGAATAAAAGGCATTGGGTTGAGTTTCTGCATTTCCAGAAGAAACACCAGATAGGTTGTTACAACTCATTATTTCATTCTTCTTTTTTTCCCCTTGACATTTATGCACACTTTATTTCAGCCCTGAATTTAGTTAACACATAGTAAACCAAAGACTAATTTTTAAATGCATTTTTAGGGATACTGTATTTGCCTGTAATAACGGGTCCTCCCTGGAGAGTAGTGAATGTAATTGTTTAGTCCTGTTAAAGCAATGCGGTTTGGCATAAACTTTATTTATTCCCTATGTAAATCTGAATGACAACAGAAAGATCTATAAGGCTTCTCACAGGAGCAAGATTACTGTTCTAGGAATCAGTAGAGTGCTCTGTTAGCTTGAATGTCTCTGAAGTCCTATAGGCAGCTCCTTAGAATGAGGAAACATTATTCCTACCCATTGATTTCCTTTTATCTATTGTCAGGAAGGTCATTACCATCCTGTTTATGTAACTTATTACTCCAGAATGGAACCAAAGGAATCCGGCTTTTATCTTGTGTAGGACCAACCTATTTATACTTCATAAGCTTTATTAGAAATTTTTTAAAGGGACAATATCAATTAAAAGATTTTGGGTGTGATCATCTTGCCAATTTGTTCTGTATCATCATTCATTTGTTTTAGGGAAAAAGCACAATTATACCTCTTTAATATTGTATCTATTATCTATCCCGCAATTATTTGGGAAGATAGGGGAAATAATCTCTTCTTATCCAGAAGCACAGGTTTTTGCTTGACAGTATTTCAGTTCAACTTAAAAGATAACATTTAACTTGCTGGAAGCGCCAGGTACATTTGTAAATATAGGGATATTATGTTAGAAAGAATACTATAGTTCACAGTCTGAAGTTCTTCTCAAGCCATGCCATCCTCACCAAACTTCCTTGACCAAGAGAGAAATAAGATCACTGAAACAGGAAGCCATTAGACACTCATTTGTGTTCCTCCCAAGCTGGGAGAAATGCCACCCTAGCCTGCAGAAGACAGTTTCCTGCTGGCAGCCTGAGCTGGCCCTGGCCCTGAGGAACTCACAGACCAATCTACAACCTGAGCACTTGGTAAAGAAGGAAGGGCCTTAGCAACTCAGCAGGAACCTTAAATTAGTTTCTGAAGTTGATGAACATGAAGTGTACTTATTAGAACTGAAAACATTAAAGACTACAGTACTAATGGGCAGAAAATACTAAAAGACCTGAAACCCATAATTATCCAAGTGGGCAGAAATTGATATAATAATTTATTCATAATCATTATGAGTTCACTTTGATTTGTGGGTATGAACAGCATTTACCATGTTATATTGTTCATATAAATATGTCCCTGGCTATTTTGAAATTATTTTCAGATACTTTAAAAATAAGACTTAATATTATTTTCAATTTTGAAGAGGAAAAAATAATTCTCTGCTATTTCTCTGAAACTAAGAGCCACTGTAGGTTTACATGATGTACCCACAATGTACACACAGGCCTAAATAGAAAAGGCATAACTAAGTTGCTTTCGTTATTAAAGGCCAATGGGATCCTCTGTGCCGCCTCCTCGTCTTCATCCATGGAGAGTAGGTGGAAGGTTCTACAAGGAGTCAGGGAACCTGTTCCTCAGAAGTTGTCCAGGCTGCACCCAGTATCTGAGATCTTCTCTAAGATTTGTGACTAGGATCTTCTCTAAGCGACGTTCTAGTCACGAAGTAGTTCCTTATTTTGACTTTCCTGCTCTTGGCCTTGACTAAAGCAGTGAGCTTGAGTGAATCATGTGTCAGCTCTGTGATCTGGATCTCTCACCTCTTTTCCTTTCCTTCTTTCTCTCTTTGAATGGTGGTACCTTAATCTGTGAGAATAATGCTCGTGGGTAACAGCTTCTGGCACCTTCATAAAATACCTCAGCATAGCTTAGCGTTGTTGCAGAACTGGTTTTAGACTTTAAAAGCCAAATAAGTAAAAGGAAAAAAAAAACTTTATAAATAGTGGAAATAATTCTAGCTGTAGTATTTAGTTGAACTAATGTTTATTATGGTTGATAAATATAATTGATGCTGTATGTATTTGGGATCCTGTTTATAGGGTTAGGGAGGGTTGGAGTGGGAGAAAGGAGAAATTGATTATGTTAGAAGGAAAATATTGCTCGTATGTGTTTGTTTTTCTTTATATCTGTCTTGCCAAAGGAAACTTGATCTTCCCTATGATTGGGTGGGGGTTTGAGGCCTCTCTGTCATCTGACGTGCAGCATAGTATGCAGAAGCAAGAAGGTGACATGTGGAGTGTCCAGTAGGTTCAGGGTGCCCAAGGGCAGATTTGCAACCTTTCCGCATCTGGCTGCCATGCCCCGCCCCCCGCCCCCCCAGACCTGCTGGCCTCTCCTGATGATCCATTACCTCCGTACATAGCTAAAGCCTAGGTGAAGGAAGGATGTGTGCATGTCCAGTGTGCAGATGAAAGGAGACAGATAGACATGTACCCAAGGAAATGGGAGAGGGATGGAGAGGTAAGGGATAGATCTTGATCTAGGAAAATTAAGGTGAAATCAGTCATCCTCTGTCACGTTAGTGAATGCTGTGCTAGTAGTCGTCCGATATTTTTAAAACCTTATTTCCTTTTCTTATGCCAAGGATAATTCTGTCTAGACCAAAAGACAAACAAAAGAAAACTCAAATCAAGAAGTTTAAAGCTAACCTCACACTTGGCACCTGTAATAAGGTGTGGCATTTAAGGATTGGTTTATGAGACAGAAGAAGAAAGAGATGATGTTGGTTTAGGGAAAAAATAAAAACCTTTCTCCCCTCATTCTGAGACAGACTTTCTTGGCTCCCTGAGTTCTGATACAAACTATATCTCAATTATTTTTTTAATAAATGTTCCATCTCACAGAACTTGAGTGAGATTTGATTTTGATACCAAAGACACTGCTATACCATTGCTTATTGTAAAGCTTTCCAAACAGTCAGAGGGTAGAGCAAAACGCTAACGTTGGGAAAAGCTTTACCTTGTCTCTGTTCTTCCCATTTCCTTCACGCCTTCCTCACTTTTTGAAAGATGTCTTATTGGTCATTCTGTCTTTGGAAAGAGATTGATTTTATCCCTCCCTGCTGCTCTGTGAACGTGGGTAGAATTGCTCAGCATTATAGTGATATTCTTGCCGAGAAAGAAACCAGAGGAGTGCAAAAATAGTAGTAGATTTTTTTATTTCCCTTTATCTAATTCTTACAAATAAAACTAGCCCCTCCCACCTGTTAGATAACAGTCAATATTCAGTTATGAAGAACAGACTTCATGAAAGCCGAGTGGTGTCTCCTTACTCTCCTGTAGAGCTGTTTGCTCTACAGTGTTTTTAGGATATGGCCTCTGGGAAGTTAAGAAGTTCATTATTTAGGCAAACTATTGATAAATGTAGACAGGGAGAGAGGGAAAAGACACAGTGTTTTTAGGATATGGCCTCTGGGAAGTTAAGAAGTTCATTATTTAGGCATACTGTTGATAAATGTAGACAGGGAGAGAGGGACAAGACACGTTACTAAAAGTCCAACAAGCGATCAGGTTGCTAAACTTGATGAAAGCTTTACTTGTTATTATTCTGACATTAATGTAAAAGTAGTGTTAATGTTGTGTGACTTTTCAAAGCATTAGGTAGGTTTATATGGTAATAGGGATATTAAAAGTAAGAGCACTTGAAACAAATGCTGTGGGAAAACAATGTATGCATCATGAACATCATTTCAAAAGACTGAAAGTGAAGCTCCTGGGTTCAGAGAAGGAAACAGTTTATGATTCTTGTGTGTCCCTGAGTCTGCCCACACTGCACAGGACTCCACCACCCTTGCCACCTTCTGGTTCAAACCCAGGGCACTGTCAGAAAGTTAACAACCCCAGACTGATTCACTGGGGGGAAAGGGGAGAAGCTGAGGTCTGCTGTGAAGTTTTCCCATGTTGTCTTTACTTGTTCATCACTGTTTAACGTAACCACAACCTCAGAAAGCAGCTCACAGCTTCTTTCCTACATTGGCAGTGGTGGTGGTCTCCATCCATCGCTGTACCCCAAGGTCTACAGGCACAGAGCTACCTACCTACAGTGCTATTTCAACAAGGAAGGGTCTGTGCATGGGAGCTCCTCATGTAATCTTGTTAGGTAAAAATGGACAGTCAGTGCCCATCCATCCCTGCGGGTGGCTCGGGGTCTGAAAATTAAAGGAGGAAACACAGTGCATTTTCCCACATGGGTGTGGCTGTGTCTCTTAGGAGCACTGTGGTAGGTTGGCTGGGGCCATGTGTCTTGGGTTCCATTTCTACGTGAGTCTGCAGAAGGCACATATTTTGTAAGAATGAAGTCAACTAGTTAGTGCTGGCCTGGTTAGGTTTAAAATCGCAAACAGTGTGGGGGTGGCGTGACACAGTCTTTGCCAAGACTGTGACCATATTACAGCATTGACTTTAGACAATATAAATGGTAAATGGTGTCTCCTCTTAAGACCAGATGGGGAGAGAAAGACTTCTTTCCACTCCTTACCTCTGCTTCCATGGGAATGTGTGCATTACTCAGTCCACAGGAGGACTCACCGAGGGAGGTACCCTCTTCCTAGAGTAGGCCTCAGCCATTCCTCTCCTCTGTGGTAATAGTGAAGGCTAGGTGAGTAAGTGTGGGGTTTTCTGCCCACCAGTCGTCCAGGAGCTGTCGTATACCTCATTTCTAACTCATGACTAAGTAACTTGCTTTAACTTCCTCTCAGCCCTCCAGAGTTGCCAAGTCTGCCCTCCCTCTTCTCAGCAGCACTGAACTCTGGCCTATAGCATCATAAGACCTGTCGCCTAGGGTGAGACGCCCACCCACCCACCCACCCTAAGCCTCTGAATGTCTCTGCTTTGAAGCTACTACAAAACTGAGGGCACATTGCAATCTTCTGTCTGTTTTTGTTGTCGGGGACCTTCCCGGGTCTGCTGTGTCCCCACCACCTTGCCTTCAAGGACTGCCAGCTCTCCTCCCGCTCTGCCCCATGTCTCCAACTGCTCGACACATAACAGCTTCTGTCCTTGCCTTTGCCAAGTGGGGTCCAGGCTGACCTTCCCCTCCGGAGCCTTGCAGTTCTGCTCATTGCCAGGACTTACTTGGTAGAAAGGACACCAAAGGTTCATTTAAGCTGACTGCCGCATAGACATTTCTCTCATTTCCTGTGTGACATGACCAAAAAAAAAAAAAAAGTATTTAAGTTTATTATTAATAATATTATAATACTAATTATTATTATTTGACAATCTTATATCCAATGGGTTTTTTGGAAGCTGCATCCCTGGCCCTTTCAACCTTTTCTTTGAATGTAGTTCTCAACTTGTAATCCCCACCCCCAAAGTTGGGGGGAAATAAAAAGCTTAACCAGGTCAGGTCATCACACTGCTGCTATAAGCCAGGGGAGGGTGGTTTCTTTGTTTTGTTTTGTTTTTCCATTTCCAGCCAAAACCAAAGATTTCTTAATGATTGTATAGACTCAAAACAAACAAAAAAACCAAAGAAAAGGGAAGTCTTCGGCCTCAATCCAGTCTGTGGCGTCCTGGCACTTAGAGACATGCCCGAGGGCAGGTAGGGCACCTCTGACCAGCTCAAAAGGGCAAGTAAGCTTTTTTTCCAAGGTGAGAGTTTTGTTCAGGTGCCTGCTCAGTAGTTTTGGCTCTTGCCAGCTTGTGAGCAGAACGTACATGAAAAATACTGGCAACATGAGATTTTCCAAAACCAAAGCCCAAAGCCCATCACCACTACAACCCCTCTGACAGCAACCAGGGTCATCACCAGAACTTAGCAGAGGGCCTTAGAGCCGGGAGCTGCTGCAGAATGGCCACGGACTCCACAGAATGGGGACGCTGAAGACACTGGCACAGGACTGGCTGCTCTGCTGGGTGCTTTCACCTCTGGGGCTGGGTCTCCACCCCCTCGAGGGGCCCTTCTGAGCCTTCTTTCTCTTTTCTTTACTGGAACTGCTTGGAAGTGGCTGTCCCATTTGTGAGGAAACACAGAGAGCGATTAGCAAACTTTCCTTTCTGTTTGTAGATTGGTTTCCTTTTGCAGCTCCACTCTGCAACTATGCATTGTATTTCATAACCTTTGTGCTAGGTAGACAAACAAACGCCTGTGACTTTTTAACTTGGGGGGCGGGTGGGGTGGGGGGTCGAAATGAAGGAGATTTTTACATGGATCTTTTTAATCTCAGTTGATTGGGGGAGGGGGGTATTTGGTTCTAGGGTCATACAAGCTCTATCCCAAAGCAAAATCCAAATGTTAATAATATTAGCCTGATGCAGATACCAAAGACAATTTCTTTCCTGCAGAACCTTAGACTTGTGTATTAAGTACGATTACCCAGCACTTGCATTAGCCTAACCTCAGTAATTCCAAAGCTTAGATGTATATTTTGGTATATTTCCAGGATATTAAAAGAAAAATGTCGTTTAACTTCTTGTCTGTTTCAGTGTAATGCTCTTAAAGTCATAGCATGAAAAACTTGGCTGTCCTATTCTTGGTAGTTTGAAATAATAGTATTTTTGTATGTTTTGGGTGTGTCTGTATGTATTAACATAACAGTTTTCACTGCCTAGGTGTTCGTAATAAAAATGAAAGGTTCTGAGTGTACATACTAGTCAATAATAATCTCCACGGTGTCCACTTGAGCGTGGAGTCACTGATGACTGCCCAGCTGGGGTCTGGTTTTAAAGAGACAGTGATTGTGTTTTTCTAAAGATGTTTATTTCTGTCTTTAAATACCTTAACTTCCCCACTCCCCCCTTTTAATTAATATTGATTCAGGGGTGTTTTTCCACTGTTGTCAGGGAGGGACACAAGGGGAATTGGCACCTTGACCTCCCAAATGTTACTTTGTGTTCTTTAAAATGTGACTTTGAGTTCTGTTTGTGGAAACTTACAATATGATGTACATGATTCTTTCCAGGATTGTCCAACAGCTGTACTGAAGCAGTGGCAATTCCTGGGTAGTTTATTGGGTGTCCTCTTGCATTTCTCCTTAAGATGACTCTGCAGTCTGGGTGGCTATTGTGTAGCCTCACTGCCCCAGGGCGCCTGTAACCATTTCTCCTCCGACGGGAATATTTTCTAAAAATCAACCGATAATTCGGAGCACTGGCCCTGGGAAACCTGAAACACAGCAATTCTGCTTGTTGGGGATTAGCTGATCCCTCCAGAGGCCTGGGGAATGGTGGGGACTATGAGCGGTGCTGTCTCTTTAGAAGTGCCCTTTATGTGATTCCCCTTCTGGGGCTGCCAGAGGGGCCAGGGGCTTGGGAGAGGTGCTGTGGGTGCCGGTGAGTCCGAATGAAGTGGCGGGTTTGTGTAGATGCATTTGTCTGCTGTAATTTTTATATATATCAAACTTACTGTGACTGCACAGCTCCATTTCTGTTGTAAAACATTAAACCGTGTTCCAAGTGTTTTCACATTGTCGGCGTCTCTGTGCCTTGGTGTTACACAGGCCGTTGTTGCACAAATACTCACATGGACCTTCCAAATCATTTCTCCCCCCAGGTCTTCCTGGGAGCCTCGGAATCTAAGCACCTCATACTTACCCTCTGACTCCCTTAGTGAGCTGTAGCCAACCCTCAGTGGAACCCTGAGTTGAGTAGCATAGTTTCCTTCAGACCTGAGTGCTCTCTGATCAAACACACTGGCCCTTGATTGATCCTGCAGGGAACTCCTCAAAGCTCCCGTCTCGCTGTGTGTGTGCGTGTGGCTGCTGACTGGGATTGAACTCCATCTGTGGGCTTTGCCATTGGACCGACAGGCCCAGGTACCTCTAGCATTTCTTAGCAGGCCCTGAACTGGGGGTGTTGGGAGAGGGTCCTCTGAAGGTAGGACATCCCAAACTGGCCTCTGGCCCTGCTGTGCACATAACTAAGCCTCTGCTTTCTAGACAGTTGAACATCTGGCACCTCATAGAGCTCACCGGCTTCATAAGGAAAGTGGAAACCTAGAATTTCCCACAGAGAGCAGCTTTTGTAGAGCTTTGGGAAGTGCCCCTGACAGGTGAATGCTGACAAGAGCCCCTCAAAATGACCAAGTGCCAAAGCCAAAAGACAGATGTGGGCCCTCCCTTTTGCTCCTAAGTCAAATTAACTTACTCTTTTCCATTCTTTCCCTTCTAACATTTATGTCTTGCATGTAAGTCTATAAAGTTATTTTTAAAGTAATTTCAAAATCTTAACATCCATCACTTTCGGTAGAGACAGTGGCATCTTCTTACATAAAAAGACTAACAAGCAGACCCATGTGACCTCTGAAGGGGTGAAACTGTGACCCTTTCATCCTTTTACAAAGTAGCTATATTCTAGCTGCTCCCAAGACCCCATAGGAAGCATTTCCCCACGAGATGAGCACGTGCCCTGACTCTCTGTGAAGAGGCTCTCTCCATTCCCAAGACCAGGAACTAAACCTGGGGCCTCTGCAAGAGCAACAAGTGCTCTCAACCACTGAGTCATTTCTCCAGCCCCCATGATTTTTTTTAAGTCACACGGCTTTACACTATAACCACGAAATAGGGATATGGTTTATGTTTAACATGTTTTAAGTCCTCTGAAACAAGTGATAGTACTTGAATCTTACAGCTAATAGTATCCAGAATGAAAGACTGTGGTTAGAGTCCACTGCCAGGCCTCAGGCAGGACGGGAGTCCTGGCTGTCCCAGGAGGAGCCAATGTCACCTTGAATCTGGAGCGCTCCTCCCAGGAACTCTGGTTTCCCAACTCTGATGCGTGGGTACATCTGCTCAGCTCTCTCAACTCTTGCTTTCTCTATAGCTCCTTTCCAGGTAAGACCTCCTGCCCTGTAACTCACGACCAGCACTCCCCTCTGCCTAAGAGATGTTCTTAACAGAACTGGGTCAAACTCTTCTTTTCCAGCCATCTCTACTGTGCTGGTCTTGAAATGAGGCCTAGAACAGGCCTGGAGATGAGGCACTCTGTCTAAAGGGCTCGACCTCAGGTTAAAGGTGAGTGTACAGCCCCGTCGGGACTGACATTGAAGGCCTTTCTATATGTGCTGCGCAGGATTGTTGTTGGAATCCTCAATTTTCAAGGCCTTTTAATAGATGGCCTTGGATTTCTGTTTTGAAAAAGCCAACGTACAAATTTTAGTCTTTTATCCATTATTAATTGGGCTTCGTGACCTGGGAGGTTAGGGAGAGTCGCTAAACTTACAGAAGTACTACTGAGGGAAAGGCCACCTGGTGAGGGAAGCTGACCTGAAAATTCTGTCCACTCCCACTCCGCGCCCACATGGCTGCTATGGCAGCTGCTGTTCACTCCTGGATGCTCTGCTCAGAATGTTACTGCCCTGGGTTGTTCTGCATTCCATAGAGAGGTTCACCTCAGGAAGCCTTCCCACTATCCTTTTCCAGTTCAGTCAGGCCAGGCCCCCACTCTTCCACCAGGCATCTCCCTATCTGGAGGCACAACCACCAGCCTAATGCCGGATCCTACACAGGGATGGCTTCGTGTACTGGTCCCTACCTGCCTGCCTACTCCCAACTGAAAGTAATTTTTCACTTTCTACAGAGGCAGCCTGCTGATTTCCTGTCTCCATTACAACCCCAGGCTTCACCATTGAAATAAGACTTCAAACATTTTTAGCAAAGCATTTATTATGCAAAGCAGTGAGGCTTTATTTAGCAAGCCAGTATAAATTAAAACCCTGGAGATCAGAGGGTCCCCCGTCCATGGTCACAGGCACTTTATACCGTGAGTTTGCAGTCCGCTGACTGATTCTCATTGTGTCACTGCTGTGTGAGCGCTGCAGACCTGGGTGGTCTTGGTCTTCTTGCCATTCAAGAAGGTATGAACCAAGTTCCTGGAAGAAGGCAGGACTCACTCCCTTTTCACTCACCCCCTGGCTTAGTTCATTATCATGACATAGCCTGTTTCTGTGCTAGTTTGGGCACAAGTCATGTCAAGGAGCGTGTTCTCCATGAAGGGAAGGCATCTTTCCATTCCTGGAGTGCCTGGCACAGTGGTTGGGAGATGCACAAGGTATGCTTGATGGGAGGAGGTCCCTTGTACCTGTGCTGGGGACCTTCCGAGCATGTCGCCTCCCTTCCTTCAGCCAACTCTGGCAGACACTTGCCTAGGCTGCCTCCCTCTGCCTTTCACCATGTGGCCTAATTATAGGTTATCTTGACAGTGGGAAGGATGATAGCAGAAGCCAATTTTACAGCAGGAGCAAAGCAAGTCAACACCAGTGGAACAATCCAAACAGTACCCAGGCCTTCTCTGGGGCTTTTACAAAGCAAACTGAACTCAGCTGTGACAGGAGGTGTGTTAGTTAGTGCCCCCACCCCCGACCCCCTGGCTAGGGCTTGGCTCTGCTGTGAGAAGGGCCTGCCATAAGACCAGAGAACCAGGCTGGGGTATGAGAGTGAGAGGGGGCTCTCCCTTTAAAGCATCCAGGGACGACATTCTGTGGACGGTACTTTGGAACTGGAGAAGACAGATGTGACGGCTGGAAGCATCCTCTTCATCAAATGGTGGCTGTGAAATTAATGGACTGAGTTGGAAATGCTTTGTCCTTCACAATCAACATCATCAGGTCAGGCCGATGAGTGGGAAATTCGCTGGCTGTTAGCGAGGGGGCAGGGTCTGCATATGAAGGGCGTCATAGGTGTCCTTGGTGGCAGCGCTGAGGCCCTGGTGAAAGCAAGTCACAAAAGAATGAGCAGAAGTCCACAGGCACAAGTTTACTGTCTGTGGCTCAACCATGGATCCCACTGCCTTCAGCAGCCCAAGGTCCCCTCACACCACAGGTGGGGAGCCTTCCTGAGAATGCTGACAGAAAGATGGATTCTTGGTCCTGCTACAAATGCCTTGGAAGCAACTCTTTTCCAGCTTGATTCTCACACCTTTCTCAACTTCTCAAACGCTAGGCCTTGCAGTACCAGGGCGCATCAGACTCCCCCATCCAACCAAAGAGGAAGGCAACTTACCCATGTCACATACTGAGCTGGAAACTGGGAGGTGCCAGAGAATCTGCTACCTGAACCCACAGAGAGTCTGGACTAGGCAGAGGGAAAGTAGCAGATCCATGGCCTCGGTCCTCATCCAGGAAGGTCTAGTCTCTGGCCACTGTGGTATATTTGGACAGGCAGACAAGGCTAGCCCTAGTCTCGCTGGAAAGCCTCTCTCTGTTCCAGGGACCGGAAAGGCGATGGGGCCGCCAGCAGCTTCCAGTAAGCAGCTTTGAATATCACCGCACTCAGGCGAGCCCAGCGACAAGAAAGATGAAGCCACTGGGGGATCCCTTTTTAGAAAATTAGGTTCTCTGCACAGAGTTTGCATAATTTGCACTAATTTCCATAAACCAGGCACCTGATTATTACAATGACATTTCCCTTTTGATGCTGCCTTTTTCTTCCTTCAATCTTTCCACCTACTCTCTTAGATAGAGCTGAGCTAACACAGTGGACCAAGAAAACAGTCCCCTGGGTAGGGTCCTTTACCTATTTCTGCCTGCACCTCTGGGGGCTCCCCTCCCACCTTTCAGATAGCTGCTTTGTCCGCTATGCCCAAATGGCCTGGGGTTCCCACAGCCCTCTCTGGTTAAAGCCAAGTATCTGCCTCCGCAACTGAGTCTCAACCCAGCTGTGGAGACATAATGGCCTCGGAGTGGCCTCCGGTCTGCCTGTGTGCCCTGAGTTGGCTCTCCCGGGCTGTTGACAAGGGCTGGTGCCAGCAGCAAGCAAACCGTGGTAGCTTCAGCGTTACCCCATGTCAGAACAGTACTGCTGAGGGGCAGCAGCTCTCACCTGGTAAAGGCCATCGTGCCCCTTGCCTCTCCGCCTCTGTAAACGAGATTAGAACGGAAGGGAATCAGTAGTGGCACCCTTGCTCAACTGCCCCCACTCAAGGAATCAGAAGGGACTATTTCCCAGCCAGCATCCCCCCCACCCCCCGGGACAGAAGGGTCCTTAGGCCCCTGGCCAGACCTTCGCCTCTACAGAATAAGATGACACCTGGCTCAGATGGGCGCCAAGTTCACACTGCCCAACCCAGATCTTTGGCATCTGGGACATAGCACTGGCTGCTTGGAATAAATGGTCCTCCACACAGCTCCAACAACTTTTGCCATCAGAAAGGCTCACTGGGAATGGCAGCTAGATAATGGTTGAGCTCTGATACAGAGTTAGCCCACGTCTTGTTCCTCCCAAGGGAAGTTGATATCCTCTCCAGGGAAGGCACTGACCACACATGCTGGCCGGTTGATTGCACAGGGTCCCCTGCTCAGAAAAACTCAAGGCTCTGCCCTTGATACTTTGAGACTGTCATGAAATCATGAATGAACAAGGAAGGAGCCGTACACTTAGATTCTCCCCTGGGACAGCGCACAGCAAGCACCCAGTTGTGCTATGAGCAGTGACTGCCTGCAAAGGTTCAGTCTGCGTCCAGCAAA